GACAGTGATAGCGTTGTACTGGCGGAGTCGAACTCGTAGAAAAGGACTTGGAATTACCGTGAAAGAGCTTCTGGGTGATGGGAAATGTGCTGGGTTATGTGGCATTTGATTCTGTGTGATGTATAGATAAGGAACAATGGTTTTTGCTGCAGCTCAAAGGTTGTCTTCGTCTCTGTTACTCACAGGTTATCCTCTGTCATGGTCCACAATTCCTTCTGAACATTCTCAAAATTTATTTTTAATTAAGATAGGGATTAATTTTTTCAGATTTGCAAAAGAATAAACTTATTCAGAAATGGGCAACTCTGTAGATCATCTCTCTAGCGGTAAAACTGTTGAAAGCCGCGAAGTAGTGACAAAATATGGCAAATTAATTGGTAGACGTCTGGAAATCGGTAACGATAAACAAGTTGATTTATTCCTTGGGGTCCCATATGCTAAGCCACCTAATGGTAAAAGAAGGTTCAAGGTACCCTTGTGAATTTCTTGTACATTCAATATTAAGGTCGCAACTTTGCATCTTAAAATTTAAGTTCGTTTGAAGAACGAGTCTACGTACGACTGGAAGCGTTTTTACTTGTTATTTAGCTGTAAGAATATCTTTTTTGGAAACCAGAACCGCTCGATAAGTGGGAAGGAGTTCGAAAGTGTGAGAAATTCGGAGCGCGTGGTATTCAGAAAGATCTTGTGATTCTTGATAAATGGAAGTATGGTCATACGAGCGAAGACAATCTTTACCTTAATGTTTTTACACCTGTTTGGGCACTACCAGCCGATGGTTTCCCTGTAATGGTTTTTGTACATGGTGGTGGATTCGTCTCTGACTCTAGTGTGAAATATGGGGATGTTGGCATTTGTCGTCATTTGGTATGTGCTTGGCGTTTGACCACCTTGTTGACAGATGCTTTAATTTTGAGATATAGTCTTTTAACTGACGTCGTTAGTGTCCTTAGCTTTTATTTCACTTGGGACGGTTTTGAACGATTGCATTGTGGCTATCCTCTTTTCGAAGCAATGAAAATACCGCTTGGGGTTTTGCTTTTTTTTTCTCTTGTTAAGTATTATTCTTGAACATAGTTTTGCAGAAACAGTGCTGTTTTTCTGATCGGTCTAGGTTTCAAAGCACTAGAGATTTTCAGGTGAAAAATGATGTTGTTGTCGTTACGGTTCAATACCGCTTGGGGTATCTAGGATTCTTTAGCACTGGTGATTCAGCCTGCCCTGATAATCTTGCTCTTTGGGACATGACAGCGGCGTTGACATGGATCCAAGAAAATATTGCAGCTTTTGGAGGCAACAAGAGCAATGTAACAGTTTTTGGTCAGAGTGCAGGCGGCGTTTGTGTTGATCTTCTATCTTTAAGCCCTTATTCAAGAGGTAAATTGGGTCCTTTTTTAGGGTTATCGTTACTTTCTTTAATAAGTATGTTGCCTAAAGAATTCAAATTTTGCTAGGCTTTACACCACTTTTATTTATTTCAGCGGTTTTTTTCTTATAGATCTTTTCCATAAAGTTATTCCGATGGCTGGAAATGCTTGCTGTGACTGGGCGATACATGAGAATGCGGTTGAGAAGTGCCGCGCTTTCAGCTCTCGGTTAGGATTGAAAACAAATAACAGTGTCGAGGTTATCCATTAATAAATGTGGTATGTAATTGGCAGGAACCTGGAGGCATTCTTCATATTTCAGTTAATAGAGAACCTACGAGATATTGAAGCTTCTAAGTTTGCGACAACAATGGAGATTAATCCAAATAAAATGGAAACTGTTATTGGCCCTCGTATAGACTACGACTTTTTACCAAAGCCTATTAAACTGCTCAGGGCAGAAGCTCCTTCGAAGCTTGCGCTTGTTGGCACGTGTCAGTATGAAGGTCTAATATTCTGTAGGTTTTGAAACTTTATTTTTGTCACTTGAATCCCCTCACTTTTTCAGATAAGAGTGTGTGGCCTTTTTGCTAGTCCTAAAGTTTGGTTCCTTTGGATTGTAGATTAATGGCGTAAATTTACCCTTTGGTTATTTAGCGATCTTCAGCCGTTTGCAAAACAACTCAGTGTCATATTTGGAAGAAACGATTGCACGATTTATCCCTGAAAGAAATTACAGAGACTTTAAAGATTTAAGGAGAGAAGCTTTGCGTCTTTATCTTAACCCTGAGGACTGTTATGACAAGAAGAAAATCCAGGAGGCAATCGTTAATGTAATTAGTTCAATTAATGCACTTTATGCTTGTGCTTTCAGGCTTTTGGTAAAGATGTTAAGTTTTTAGTTGTATTCGGACTTCTTCCTGAATGTTTATACCCAAGAGTACGTGCTTGAACGTGTTTCAAAGCCGGACCAGAAGACATTCCTGTATTCCTTTGATTATTATAATCCGAAAAGCTGGGGCGTTCTGGGGTTTGCTTTGCCTTTCAAAGGTTTGTTAGTTCTGAAAAATTATCGTACTTTGAAATAACCTCAAAAAAGTGTTGCCGACTTAATTACGATTTCGTTTTACTTGTTTTAGACAGGAAGTTTTCGGACGATTTATTTTTTACCCTGGTCCACTGTATTAACTTCGAATACAGTCTCATACGAAAATAATTATTTAAATTGTATCAAAAGTCAAATGTTGATTGGTTTTTATTCCTAGACTTTTCTTCTCAAAAGCTTGCTGTCTGAATAATGTCTTATTTTAGGTGCCACTCATTGTACTGAATTGGCTTACTTATTTAACGTCGGAATTATCATGCCATTTACCTTCAATGACGATGATAATAAAATGCTTGCCTTAATGACTAAAATGTGGACAAATTTCGCAAAATATGGGTGACTGTTTAACATTCAGAGTAAATAGTATTTCTGCCCTATTAATTTTTTGATCACATTTGATTAGTTCGTTTCTTCGAACGGTCCTAAATATTTTTTTTGAATCTGTGGTTGACCTCTTTGTTTGACAGAAGTTGACAAGTGCAGAGGGTGAGAAATGTAACTTTTAGGGATCCAAATGGAGCAGAAGGAAATGACAAGATTTCAGAGTTTTGCTGGGAACCAGCTTCTGAAGCTAATCCTTATCGGTACTTGTCAATAAATTTAAAAAGTCAAATGAAAGATGAATACGGTGAACTTCGTCCGAAGTTCTGGGCCGATATTCGTCAACGAGTACGACAATAGCTAATTTTGACTCGTTTTGTTCATCACTTGTAACTGATGTATGGCAATGCAATTTGTTATTCTTATGAAAAAATCACGCTTAAAATTGTGGCTAA